GCGGGCAGGGGAGTGCAGCGCCAGGCCACCAGCTCAGCGGGGCCTTCCAGGAGCGGGCTGGCCACAGGGGCATGGCAGCGCGGCGCAGCCCCACCTGGGGACACCTCGTCCGGGTTGGGAAAGAAGGCGGAGCGCAGGTCGTGCACAGCATGGCGGATGCGGCCCCGCAGGGTGCGCGCCGCCGCCGCCCCCTGCTCCCAGTCCTCTGCCTCCAGTGCCCGCAGCCGCCGGCCATCCCAGGCATACTGCTTCTGCTGCGTGCCTGCAGTGTGCAGGCAGGCAGCGCAGGTAGGGAGAGCATGGGCCAGCTGCCAGGGGATGCAGCTCGTCGCAGCCTTGCCATGGCAATGCAGCGCCGAACATGACACGTCGTTATCATGCCGCCACTTGTTCAACAGCATGCAGCAGCAGCCTGTTCAGCGCACCTTCCATGACCGCCGCCGGCACCGCCTGCAGCCCATCGAAGCTGACCTTCATGGTGCTGCTGGCGCTGGCCGCCATGGATGCAAAGGCGCTGGCTGCTAGCGACGCAAAGGCAGCAGGGTGGTCGCGCCGCCGCCTGTGCGGCAGCAGCGGCCTGCCCGCCGCCAATTGGCGCTGCCCCTCCCGCCACCGTTTCGTCGGGGGCTCGCTGTGCTCAAACACCACCGCTCCCCTTGCATGCGGGTCGCATTCCTGGACTATTGCGACTGCTGCACCCTGCGCCATTGCTGCTAGAGGGCCCCGCCGCCCCACCCCGAGATACAAGGACCCTGACGAATTCAGGGTCCTGGGCACGTCAGCCTAGCTCTCGGGACACGCTGCTGGGCCGTAGACCATCACTGTTTAAAGCTGCACGGGCTGTGCAGGCAAGAATGAAGCACTGCTCAACTCGGAATGATTGCGGATCCACAATGGAATGTGCAACTGTGTGAAATCCAGTCGCCCAGAGAGGCACCGCCACAGCGTCGCCAGCGGGCAGAGCGGCGAAGCAGTGGCTGCGCTCAGGAAGATGTGAAGAGGGATGATCAGCTTCATTACTGCGGTGCCTCCTCCACTGGGGCTGGCGCTGGCTTGGCCTTGCGCTCCGGCCCCCCGCGCTCCAAGAAATCAGCCCCTGCACAAAACGAGGAGCGGCACTCCGTCTATCAAGCAGCACACATGCCCGCAATTGGCTCAGGTTTCCTGGCAAAGTCTCACATTGCTTTTTGGCATAATCCCGTCGGTCACCGCCACCTGCAGGTGATGGAAGGGTGGGCAGATGGGGACAGCGCGTGTCATGCACTTGTGTGATACTTTCAGGGCACAGCGTGCATACAGACCAAGCAGCACCACTGCTCACAATCGAACATCTGCACGCATTGGAACTGCATTGCATCGTCCCGCTCCTCCATCTTGCTCTTCACGCTGGGCTGGACGAAAGTAAGTGAAAGGGTGTTGCCGCTGGAAGACGATGCTGCCTCGGCCATCGCCGCTGCTGGCCGAAACAGAAGCAGGGCTGCAGCTGCCGCACCCGCCACTGTCGAGCTGGCTCCTCCGGCCAGCAAAGTTCCACCTAGGCCTCGGCTCGCCGCCTCCCCGGCCGCCTCCCCCGCCGCCTCCCCCGCCGCTGCTGCCCCGTTGAAAAGCCTGGGCAGAGCCTTCGAGCTGCGCTGCATCTTCTTTGCTGTCTGAAGCTGCACGGCAGCACTGCTGGCAGCCGCGCAGTGCGTCTGCACGGCGCGCATGACTGCTTCCGAACTTGTCAGGTCCGTGTGGCAGCGTGCGGGGCGTTGATCAGCGAAGTACGAGGCGACTTGCAACGATCTCACAGCCTGGTGCAGAAGGACAAGGTGAGCGAAGCTCATCCTCGCTGGATTCTGCCGCGTCAGCGGCGGCAGACCACAGCACAGCGCACATCTGGCAGGAAATTGGCCGCGCCTCTGTGGACTTGCTAACTGATTACCAAAACGTCAGTTGGAGCAAAGTCGTGGGAAAACGCAATGAACAGTACGGTGACGCCCAGGCGCGATTATTAGCAAAAGCAATGGTGCGGGCGGGAGGGAAGCACTCAGGGCGAGGTTATGACAATGTCAGGAAGGGCAGAGCTCAGGAAAGGCTGAGAAACGGTTTCCAAAATTCTGGGAAGACGAAGACACAAAGATGGAGGAAGGGCGCGGGCTGACGGCGGTGATAAGGTAGGCTGGGCTTGCGGGCATCCAGCCAACCCTCGACCCTCGCCCCGCCCAGCAGCTGCTCAGTGGCCGCCCTCCGGCTTGTAATTCCCCAGCGAGCCGGACAGCAGGATGTTGTCCCACTCCGCATCGCTCTCCACCACCGCCCACAGGTGGTCCAGGCCGGCGTTGGCCATCAGGCTGTCCACGGTCCAGCTCGCGTAGCTGTCTGCAAACTCGGTGGCGTTGAACACGCCCTCAAAGCTGGTGGTGGCATTGAAGTCTGCGGCCTCGCCCAGGTCCAGCACCGTGACCACTGCAGGGGAGAGGGCCAGGGGTGGTGGATGGGGTGGGGGGGGGGTCGGCGCATGCGGGTCAGTGGGGAAGGGTGGGGAGGACAACGGCTGGCAGGCGCGCTGCTGGCACATGGATGGGTGAGTACCGTACCAGCGCACCCCACCACCCCAGCGCCGCCGCCCGCTCACCCTCGTCGCCAAACACCTCTGGGTTGCCGAACACAATCTTGGCCGCCCTCATGCCCTCCACGCCCGTCACGTTGAGCGTCCAGAACACCTCCCCCTTGTGGGTGTAGTAGTCCAGCAGGGCGGCGGCGTCGGGGGCGTCTGCAGGCAGGTACGGCGGAGCGGAGGCGGGGCCCGGCAGGTGAGCAGAGCAGCGGCATGAGGCGGGCGCTGCAGCGCAGTGTTGGTTGCTCGCCAGGCAACATGTTGTTGGTGGAACAGCGGCACCAAGCATGCCACCGACCTCTTGCCCCTCACCTGGCTCCTGGTCGCCGAACGGCAGCATCTCCGCCTTGAAGTAACTGCGGGCAGGGAGAGACACACGAGGCGGGTTGCTTGGTGGGAGCAGCACCCACAGGCCAGGTACCCAAGGAGCGTGCCGATGAGGGCGGCAGCGACGGCGGCGCTGGTACAGGCCAAAATCCAAAGCTCGCTCGGATAAGGCGGCCGCCGGGGCGCTGCACCCTCCCATTGCCCGAACGCAAGCACAACTTCCCCCAGGGCAGCGCAGCAAGGCTGAGAAGGGCGTGATGGGGGATAAGGGCGAGTGCATTTGACATGCCAGGCTCCAGGGCAGCCATCCCCGCTTGCACAGCATCACTGGGCTGGATCATTGGCACTAGGAAGCCCCAGGAGGGTTGCAGTGCTCCACTGGCAAAATGTACCAGGCGAGGCGCAAAAGGCTGGGCGGCGATTGCAGACGCAGCACCCGGCACATCGCACTCACGTGTGAGCTCGGCAGCTGGGAGCCAGCGCTAGAAGCGCGAACAGGCAGGCAAGCTTGGCGTGCATGATGGCTTTTGTGAGTGGTGGCTGTCAGGAGAATTGAAAGGTGCAGAGGATACTAAGGGGAAGAAAAAGAAGAAGAAACTGTTTTTGGACTGGGCGTGTGCAAGCGCCCTTCAGAAGGACGGCGGCCTGTACCTGCAAGAGCTCATGCAGGGGGAAGATGATCTGCCAAGCCGCCCTCCTCTCTGGATAGCAGGAGGGTGATGTGGAGAGCCCACTTCCATGCTGTAACTCCTCACAACCTCATAGCGCTGCCGTTCCCCTGGACCAGCCGCCAACGCCCCGCCAGTGTTGGGCACGTGCGCCACGGCGCTGAGCATTTTGTTTAGAGTTGGGACACCAAATTGCAAGCAGCCAGTTTCCATATGCGCCTGTCAGTCGGCCCCGGGCGTTTCGTATTCAGTGGCAAGCATCAGGCCCTGGACGACGCCCCCCTCCACCGCAGTGTACACCCCAACTGACGCACAGTCGATGGCCTTGCCTGCAGCAAGCAGCAGCAGCGTGACGCTGAGGCAGCAGAGCAGCCGGGCCACGCTGCAAACAGCGGCAGCAAGCGGCTCGCCATGCACCCAGCCAGGCGACCAGCCAGGCACCAGCCGCACGCACCCGCAAAGAGGAAGGGGAGGGAGGGGGTGGGCCACAGGCCCTCGCCGCTGCTGCCCTGCATGCGCTGCAGAAAGGCCAGCCAGCTGCGCTCCTCCAGCGCTGCCTGCTTGCGGTTCTGGCGCGGCGGCGGCGCGCTCTGCAGCTCCTGCAGCTCGTGCGCCTGTATCAGGCTGGTGAAGCCGCTGGTCACGGCGTGGCGCCCCATGAACTGGTACTGGAACAGCTCTGCCTGCTTCCCAAAGTACCAGTGGTTGCCCGGGTCGTCGTGGTCAGCCAGCTCCAGCCGCCCCTGGTGCAGCTGCGCCAGCAGCCTGAACGGAACGCTGATTTTCACAAAGGGCGGCACGTTGGCCGAGCCGCCGCCGCCTTGCGCCGCCGCCGCTGATGCTGCCGCCAGGCGTTCAGGCTCCAGCACCAACAGCGGGTCTATCACAGCCACTGCAAACATGTGCCAGTGGCAACACAGAAGCAGGAGCAGGGTGGGGGCAGGGCCCGAGCAGGGCGGGTGGCGGTGAGCGGCGGCATGGCGGTGGGCAGCAGACAGCTCGTCCTCACCTACCTTCCATCATACCGGGCGTGGCTGATGTGTTGTGCGGCCTGCCCCAGCTGCTGCAAAGCCGTCCGAGACCCACCCTACTCGCCCTGGTTGCCATGGCTGCGACAATAGGCCAAGCTGGCTGATTGATTGCCGACCTGCTCAAGGTTTGCGGAACGCCACGCCGATCGATGAGAGGCGGCCGCAATTTTGCGCAGGGTGGACAACACCAACCTTCCACCGCCTGATTTCCGCCTGGGCGCCTTCAATTCGGCGCCATCGCCTCCACATCGCACCCTTGGGACTGGTGTGGCACGCTGCAGGAGCCATCGCCCGCATCGCGTTCCATGCAGCCGTGAGCGTGCTGGCGAGCAACGATGAGCAGCAAGGACCGCATAGCAACGCTGCGCAAGCGTGTTGCAACGGACCCCTATGATGCGGAGGCCTGGGAGAAGCTTGTCTCAGAGGCCGACCGCGCTCGGCGCGGCTCTGAACGCAACGCGGCGCTGACAGCGGTGTACGAGGACCTGCTGAATGTGTTCCCAACGGCGGTGGGTCCCACGCTGCACCACGCTGCACCGCCGCTGGCCCGCTGCCGCTGCCGCTACCTTTCCATCCGCCGCTTGTGCTCCCGCCGCTGCAGGCGGGGTACTGGCGGGAGTATGCAGACCACCAGATGAGCTGCAGCGACGAGAGCGTGGTGAAGGGCGTCTTCTCCCGCTGCCTGCTCACCTGCCTGTCTGTGGACCTCTGGCGCTCCTATCTCAACTTCATCAAGCGGGTGGGTGCGCCCTCGCTCGGCACCAAGTGCAGCCGCACACATCATCATGCGGCCGGCAGCCCCGCAGGCATCAGTCAGCAAGCCGCGGCTGCAAGTCCTGCCTTGAGTGCCGCCGCCGACCCACCCGCTCACCCGCCGTTGCCGCCGCCGCTGCCTGGCGCCCACCGCAGCTCAACGAGCCGCGCGGCGCAGAGGGCCTGCCCGAGATCCGCCAGGCGTACGAGTTCACCCTGGACCGGCTGGGGCAGGACAGCGCGTGCGGCGGCATCTGGATTGATTACATCGCCTTCCTGCAGGCGAGGCTTGGGGGGGGTGGCTGTGGGGTGGCTGCCGCGGGCCTCCGGGACCGGCGCTAGGGATTGGAGAGCACTGGGAAGGGGAGGGGGGAGGGTGGAAGGAGGGGCCAGGGGGATGCAGCCTGGAGGAGTGCGGCGCACAGCAAGCTCGCTGGCTGGTGCAGAGCAGGCCTAGGTTCCCAGCGAGCAGTCGCGGCCGCTGGGCCCGCCCCCCGGGCGCCGACCTGCTCCACTGCGTGCCCGTGTCGCCTGCAGGCGCCCAAGCAGGGCAGCCCCGAGTATGCGGCTGTGTACGGCCAGGCGCTGGAGGGGCAGGTGGGCCCCTTGCCCTGGCTTGTCTGCCCTGGTGTGTGTCTGATCCCTGGGGCTGCTGCCAGGGACGCGGTCTTCAGGCGGCAGGGCCTTGCTCACCCACCTCTCACCACGACTTGCCCCCGCCCTGCTGCCCGCGCAGGATGAGTCTCAGAAGGTGGCGGCGGTGCGGCGCGCCTACCAGCGCGCCCTGCTGGTGCCCACCTCGCAGCTGGAGGGGCTGTGGCGCGGGTACGAGGGCTTCGAGGTGACGGGCAGCAACAAGCAGCTGGCGCGCAGGCTGCTGGACGAGTGGCGCCCGCTGTACCAAGCAGGTGCGGCGTGCTGTGCTGCGCTGCGCCTGGCACCCGTGAGCCTGCCTGCCCGCCCCCGCTGCCCCGCGCGCACGCCCCCGCCGCCCGCGCAAAACACGCGCGCTCAGCGCCGCCGCCCCTGCACCCCGCGCGCTGCAGCCCGCGGCCTGCTGCGGGAGCGCGAGGCACGGCTGGGCGCCATCAACCTCAAGGCGCTGGCGCTGCCGCCCGGCCGCGGCGGCGCCACGCAGCAGCAGCAGGCGGCGCTGTGGCGGGAGTACCTGGGGTGGGAGCGCGGCAACCCGCAGCGACTGGACCCGGCTACCCACGCCGCCAGGTGAGGCTGGCGGGGCAAGAGGGAGGGTGCGGGCGGGGCCCGGGCGGGGGCGGGTTGGTAGCGGTAGCCGGAGCTGGCGGTTAGCAGGCGTGAGGGCACCAGCCAGGAAGCTAACCGGCAAGACCACATTGCAGGCAGGCGCTGCAGGCAGCCCCGCACACACCCGCCCACCCCGCCCCAGGCCTCTCATTCTGCCGCCGCTGCCGCCGCCGCCGCCGCAGGGTGTCGCTGGCATTTGAGCAGGCGCTCATGGTGCTCTTCCACTACCCCGACATCTGGCTGGAGTTTGCGGGGTGGCACCAGCAGCAGGGCGGCGGCGGCGGCGGCGCAGCGGCGGCGGCGGTGCTGGAGAAGGGTCGCGGCGCGCTGCCCACCGCGCTGGCCCTGCACTTTGCGGCCGCAGACCTGCAGGTGGGTGCGTGTGTGTGTTGGGGTGTGGGAGGTGGGGTGTGGCGGGTGTGGGCGTGTGGGCAGGGCCTGCCGTGCCTTGGTCGGCTGGTTGGTGGGCAGAGCGCCACCTGCCACGGCCGCTGCCTGCCTGGTTGCCCGACCCGGCTCCCTGGCCCCGCCCGCGCGCGGCCTGCAGGAGTCTCTGGGCAATGCTGCGGGCGCCAAAGCGATTTATGAGGAGCTTGTGGAGGGGCTGAGGCCTGCAGAGGAGGCAGCCGCGGGGGGCGCAGCCCCGGCAGCAGCAGCCGCGTCGCCGGCAGCGCCTGCCTCGACGGCGCCAGCAGCGTCCCCCGCAGCCCCGCCAGCAGCCTTGCCGGCGGCCCCGCCGGCAGCAGCCCCGCCAGCGTCACCGGCCGCAGCGGCGGCTGGAGCGGGCGGCGAGGGTGCGCAGCAGGCGGGCGAGCCTGCGGCGACAGGTGCAGAACAGCAGCAGCAGCAGCAGCAGGACGGTGGCGGCGCGGGGGAGGCTCAGTTGAAAGCAGGGCCGGAGGAGGCCGCAGCAGCAGACGGCGCGGCGCAGGGCGGCGAGGCGCCGCCGCCGCCGCCGCCGCCGGCTGCACCGCAGCAGCAGGCAGAGGTGAAGGCGGAGCCGGGCACGAAGGCGGAGGTGAAGGCAGAGCCGGACCAGCAGGCTGCAGAGGCTGCCGCGGCGGCGCCGGCGCCGGCGCCACCTGGCGTCCAGCTGGCGCCTGAGCAGGGCACGCTGGCCTGGGTGCAATACATGCGCTTCGCCAAACGCACCGGCGGCATCATGGCGGCGCGCAAGGTGGGCTGGCGCTGTGGGTGGCGGGGGGGGGGGGGGG